AATTGCAAATATTATTGTATTAAAGTGGTAATAATTTGTTTATTAATAGAGTAGATAGTTTTCCAATGGCTATAATTTTTTTTTAATACACAAAAATAAAAGTTGATTAGTTTAGTTTTAATAAAATAACTGAATTGAACAATTATTAGCAAAAACAAATTCGTAAACCAATCATATCTTGGAGTGAGCACGTCTACCTGTTTGAATTGAATAAAAATTACTAATGAAATTATTTAATTTGTCATTTACAACTTTTTCAAAAAAAAATAAATAAAATAAGTAGGTATCAATATTTTAAAGAGTTATATTAAATAGTCTCATTTGCTCATTTTAATTTCTAGTATTTCTAATAATAATATTGTTTATTTAATTTTGCCATTTGAAACCGCATTTACTTGTTATGTTGGTAAATAAATAGCTAATTAAACATCAGTTATAATTATTTTTTAATTTAATATTTAGTTACAGTATAAAGTTGTGAATTTTTTAAAATAATTTGTTATTTACTCAATTGAACGTAAAATCGGTAACTGAGCTTCACTTCAAAATAAATATACTAAAATACAATGGAAAATTATAATAATGTAGGTACATTAAGCTGTAAAAACACCCCAAAACATATTAGTGAATACGCGGTAGATTTACTAAAATAACGAAAAAAGTTACATTTTTCTCTTTTTTTAAATCAATGTTAAAGGTGAATTTTTTTTCCAAAAAATGATAAAAGGATCTTATAAGACATTTATTCCAGTTTTTGACACTACACTTATATTCTCTGTGTGGTCATTGGTTGCTGAAATATCGGTGATCAAAAACAAAAGGATCCTTTTTAATTTAAAGTTTGATATTTCAGCGACAAATTGATGTAAAGAGAATGTCAAAAAAATTCAAGGTAAATGAACATGCTATCCGACCTATGCATTGACTTAATTAAAAAAAACCTCCCACGTCCCTGGACCAAAAACAAAAACATAAAAATTTATATTTTTTTTCTCGCACTATTACTTAGGATTGCGTGATAATCGTAGCACAGAAAAAATATTCGTCAAAAGATCTCAAAACTAGAAGCTTAAAGCTTCAAAATGCTTTTTTTTAATCTAGATACGACCATTTTTTGATAAATTACAGCCTTTCAAAAGCCATCAAAAAAGTTAGGAATTTTTTTGTAGGGACATACGTTTTTTCTCCAGTTTGTTGACGATTTTGAAATTTGTCAGGATGGAGGGATAGGTTTCGTCGATTCCTGACAAGTCGAAATCTGTTCCCTTTGCTTCCCTCTTGTCAATATCTGTGAAACTTGGGGCATTGTAAGAAACATCTTGGGCTTGACCAGAGTCAAAATTAACCGAACTTTCCTCCTTAATTGGTATAAATCGGTAAGAGCGTTGATAAGGCTACAAAAATGATCGTGAAAAACACGTTTTTTTTGTGAAAATGGTGGAAAAATACTTGTAGGATACCAATTGGCATTTCGTCTTTATACACCACCCCAACCTGGCGTTTTTCCAATGAACTGCTGGGGGATTTATCATAAAACTCCTCCGAAGCGGATCTTTTCGTATCAAAGATGGGGTATTTTTCCACCCCTTCGAATCTTGACCGAGGTTTGTAAAACTCGGCAAATGAGTTAGAATTACCCCCTTCGTTATTTAATCCTCCTTCGTTTGATTCTACACAGTGTAATCTAGCACGAGAAAGTTTGCTTTGGGAGAAAGTCAAAAAATTTTACTCACTTATTGTCATCACTAAAACTTTTTTCTTCCTCGAAGGGTTTTGCTACTGCTAGAGTACTGAGTGTATATAAAATAAARGCCCCAATGCTAACATAAATTCCTTCCATAATATTCAGTTTCTTACAAAAAATTAAATGCGACTTATGTCACATTGATGTAAAAATCAAAAAACGTCAAGTGGTTTTAAACATGAGGAAAGTCGCTTTCATATCAATTCCTGGTCAATGTTGGCTGTGACTTTGCACCCCTGGGGGTCCAAAAGACTCTAAAAAGTGCACAAAACGTTATTGGGTTGAATTAAGAAAAAACAAACGATTTTCTGAGTTTTTGAAGGTTGGAAATAAAAATCGTAAAAATTACACTAGTTTACAAATAATAATAARTTGTTTAATACACTTTTAATCTAATTATTATTTTTATATTTATTTACCTCTAATTAAACAAAAATAATTGTAAAATTTTTTACACGTCACAGTTTTTTGTGACGAACAATAATTTTACTGCTTTCTGCACACATCTCTCCGATTTAAAATTTATTTAAAATTCAAACTGTTGCTGAATTATTGTAAAATTACCAAATGGGTCTAAATGGGTCTTAAAATACATTTTCATCAAGACCTGAAAGATTTTCGAAGATCGATACAAAGATTTTTGGGATGAAAATATGTTAGGAAATTACTGTTGGACTGTCATAAAGGAAAATGATCCAAAAAATATGAAAAGCAAAGTAAAATAACTCATTTTTTATTTGTTTTGGGTTTTTTTTGTGTTTTTGTTTTTTGTTATTTTATTTTTGTTGATTAGGTACATATTTCGTAATGGTGGTGGACTTTAAAATTTTTTTTTTAAATCCTTATGTACCTGAAAATCTATAAAAAATTATAACTTAGAGTTTAGATAATTAAGGAAGTCAATGTCTACAAAAAATGATAATCTTAGTATTTTTTAAAATTTAAAGTTGAATAGTTTTTTTATATAAATTTTAATGAATTTTATATAATTTTTTTTTTATAAATCTCAGTAACTAAAAAACCTATACTAGGATTTTTTTCACTATTCCCTAAAATATTTGTAAGTTAAAGTTCACCCTGTATCGGGGTCACAACAAAAAAAAAAATGTTTTATTAGTCTTATCAAAAACCGATGCAACTTATAAAATTTGTCGTAGAATTCGCCTGTACAAACCGTTTAGACCTATGACCTATAGTTTTTGGATTATGGCTTTTTTATAAAAAAAAATGGCTCTGGACCCAAAACTGTAAGATTTTGACGTCATACTAGACGAATTGAACGGCTGTTTAATTGTTAATGACACAAAAATGGTGAACGTGGAATTGCGTAATATATAAATTAATTTGTGATGTTGCGAATGGCGGTACTACGCAGTCCCAAGTCCGATCTTTTACAACAAAACTGTTACGAAATTTTTGTAGATCTTGCAGRTTTTTAAAGGAAAATAATTGTCCGAATATAGTTATTTATTTTTATGTATAATATTTCGTTTTATTTTGTACTCACCTTCCAGAATTTCTTGAATATAAACAGTAAATAACAATTACTTTATTTCACTAGACGATAAAAGACCACTCTATCTATTGAAATTAGTTGATAAAATATAAACAGTAGATAAAAATTACTTTATTTCACTAGACGATGAAAGACTACTTTATCTAATGAAATTAGTTGATAAAAGCACTCTTTAACATTGAGTACAAAATAAAATTATTTACTTCGTGGTTGAGTGCGAAAATGGGGGCTGTATTAGCATGCGTGCGGGTTGGGTATTTTCGAATGCCTAGTAGACATTCAATAGTGCGCGATTTTTAAAATTTCGAGGTATTACTGAGTGCCAATGGGGGAAATGGAGAAAATAATCCAAATAATATTAAATTATTTTCAAATTGCTTTAGAAAAGTGTAAAAAAACACAATATAGCAAAATAATATTTTATTTGAAATTTACGTATAATCTCAATTTATAATTTTCACACGCCAAATAGATAAGTTAAAACCTTATCTATGGGTGCTAATTAGATCATTTGAAACACTCCAGACATTCCCTTCACATGAATTTAGTGAAGAGAATTTGGAACAATAGCTGATTACATTTTTGATCTCTATTTAATACTTCCGAAACAAATAAAACCTGTGTACCTAACAAACAAAAGGCAAAATAAATAAAATAAAAAATTAATCAACTGTTAATTTTATTGGCTTTTTATGGTAATACAATCATATAAAAATATCTATAACATAGGCAAGTATTAATAATTGATACAAAAGTCCCAAGCAAAATATAAAATCCTGACCAAAGCCGTCTCACTTCTAACCTCTACCTCTATAAAAATAAAATTATGAGTAATAACAAGTATCACAATGTTAGAATGTTAATTTTACAGTCTATGAGTACGAATAGGAATGTCACTTATTTACTAGAAACCGGTGCATAAAATTTATGAGACTTGGTGTCTCTCGTATGCTTCAGCGGACTCTTGGGCAAATCAATCAAGACCGCAGGACACGGCCCCACATTCCTCGGCAAAAACTCCTTCTTGTACGATGTTATAACAGTCGACGAGCTATCCCCCAAACTGATATTCGAAATATTCGACCTCCTGGAAACCCTCTCAACTCTTTGAACATTCTGCTGTTTGGTAAACTCCCCATACGACTTAGCTTCCGATTGGCCGTAGAAATGCCCCCCCACTGAGAGATTATCCTTCCGGATGATCTTCTGAGGCCTTTCAACAGTCTCGTAAGTTGTTGCAAAATGGCTGCGGCGGTTGGCCATGTTGCTTTCTTGCGTGGACCGATGGATGGAGCTGAGACTCCTCCTTTCGCTGTTCTGGCTCACATGGCCTTGGTCGTGAAGATTACAGATTGATTTTCTCATGTCGAGGGCGGCGGAACTGGTCGCATGGAGGGCTTCCGAAGATGTGTGAAGACCCTTCCTGTGGAGGATCTGGTTGCTGATCTCTTCAGCTGATGTCATGACGTTCTTGCGGTGGTGGGTTGATGATTGCGAAGTGTTGTTTTGGACCACGTGGGATTGCTTGACTTCACCAGAATGCACCACGTGGGATTGCTTGACTTCACCAGAATGCACCACGTGGGATTGCTTGACTTCACCAGAAACTTGCTGCTTTTGCACCACGTGGGATTGCTTGACTTCACCAGAAACTTGTTGTTGTTGTTGTTGTTTAGTTGTCGTCCTCGTCGTGGTGACAACAGTGCCGTCGGCCAAAGTTTTGGTGTCAGTTGCAACACTGGTGGTTTTGTTGGCGGTTGATTTGGTGTCGTTCTTCGCAACATCAACTTCCTTCCGCTCAACTTTCTTCGTGTAGGTGTTGTAGTTGCTTTGATTTGTTGTTTGCATCACTGTTGTGTCACTCCCCAAAGTGATGTGTGATTCAATGTGGCGTCTTCTGTTGATCGATCCTGGTGTTGTTGTTGTTGTTGTGATTTGTTTCTTCGGTGTTTTGTCAAATGTCTCCTTCGTTGTGGTGATGTATTCGGTTTTGCCGTTACCGATAGTGAGTGAGTCTTCGTGTTTTCGAATTTCGGCTCTTTCGCCTCGTGTTGCAACAAACTGGGATTTCTGCATTGTGACATCGTGGAATTCCCCTGTTATTTTTAGATTGTCTTGGGGTTTTCTGACAGGTGCTCGTTCGCCTCGAGTTGGTTTAAAATCGTCTTTGCTTTTGGGGGTTGCGATGAATTCGCCTTCTGGTTTAAGGTTGTCGGGGTGTTTGACGATGGGGGCACGTTCGCCGGGACCGTATTTGGGCTTTTGGGGAGTTTCAAATTCACCTTCTGGTTTCAAGTTGTCTTGGGGTTTCTTCATTGGTAGCCTTTCGCCAGGAGCATATTTGGGCTTTTCAGGTCGTTCAAAATCTCCTTCTGGACGTAAATTATCCTGGGGTTTCTTCGGACTTGGCCTTTCTCCAGGTTTATATCCTGTTTTTTCAGGACGTTCAAATGCACCTTCAGGTCTTAGATTATCATGGTGTCTTATAGGACTTCGTCTTTCGCCGGGGCCAACTGGACTAGGTGTAGGACGTTCAAATGCACCTTCGGGTTTTAGGTTGTCTTTAGGTTTCTTAGGAGTTGGACGTTCAACTGGTTGGTATTGTGGTTTGTGAGGACGTTCAAAGTCTCCTTCTGGATGCAAATTGTCTTCGTGACGAATGGGAGTACGACGTTCTCCTGGTAAGAAACCTGGCGATTTTGGTCGTTCGAATTGTCCTTCAGGTTTGAGGTTGTCTTGGGGTTTAATTGGTGACGGCCTTTCGGCTGGTTTATAGCCAGGACGGTCTGGACGTTCAAAGTCTCCTTCCGGGTGTAAATTATCGTCATGTTTGATGGGTCTGCGGCGCTCCCCTGGGCCCACTTGGACAACAGAAGGTCTTTCGAAGGTGCCCTCCAATTTCAAGTTGTCTTCATGACGAATAACTTCTGTCTTTTCAATAACTCGAGTGTTGTATTCGTCTCGTTTTCGATATTCGTTGAATTCTCCTTCCATTCTTAAATTATCTTGTCTGGTGATAATTTCAGCTCGTTCTCCTTTGACGGCTGAGTATTCGTCACTAGTTCTACTACTTCTAAATTCGCCTTCTGTTTTCAAATTGTCTTGGTGAATAACAGTATCGTATCTTTCACCTTTGACAACTTTATAATCATCTCTTGTACGCATATCGGTAAATTCTCCTTCAACACGTAAATTATCTTGTCGTTTGATAACATCGACACGATCTACGACTGTGGTATTACTATAGTCGTCTCTACGTCGTATATCCCATTCTCCTTCCACTCGTAAATTATCTTCACGTTTGATTATATCAACTCTTTCTCCTTTTACAACATTGTAATCGTCTTTTCTGGTAACGATAAGTGTTCCTTCAGGTTTGAGATTATCTTCATGTTTGATAGGCTTCCGTAATTCACAAGGTCCCACTTCTATCAACTCAGGTCTTTCAAATTCACCTTCAGGTTTAAGATTATCTTCAGGTTTTTTAGGTTGAGGTCTTTCAGCTGGTTTAAATTTAGGTTTTTCGGGCCTTTCAAAGTCCCCTTCAGGTTTGAGATTATCGTGGTGTTTAATTGGACTTCTGCGTTCACCGGGTCCAACTTTAGTAGGTGTGGGCCTTTCGAATTCTCCTTCTGGACGAAGATTATCTTCAGGTTTCTTCTGTTTTGGACGTTCTGCTGGTCTGAATTCAGGTTTTTCAGGACGTTCAAAGTCTCCTTCAGGTCGAAGATTATCATCGTGCTTAATTGGTGTTCTTCTTTCAGCAGGACCAACTTTCGTTGGAGTTGGTCTTTCAAAGTCACCTTCAGGGCGAAGATTGTCTTCTGGTTTTTTAGGTTGAGGTCTTTCAGCTGGCCTATACTGTGGTTTTTCTGGACGCTCGAAGTCACCTTCAGGACGAAGATTATCACCGTGCTTAATTGGTGTTCTTCTTTCAGCAGGCCCAACCTTCGTTGGACTCGGTCTTTCAAAGTCACCTTCAGGACGAAGATTATCTTCAGGTCTTTTAGGTTGAGGTCTCTCAGCTGGCCTATACTGTGGTTTTTCTAGACGCTCGAAGTCACCTTCAGGACGAAGATTATCACCGTGCTTAATTGGTGTTCTTCTTTCAGCAGGGCCAACCTTCGTTGGAGTTGGTCTTTCAAAGTCACCTTCAGGACGGAGATTGTCTTCAGGACGTTTTTGCTTGGGTCTTTCAGCTGGTCGATATTCTGGTTTCTCAGGACGTTCAAAGTCCCCTTCAGGTCGAAGATTATCATCGTGCTTAATTGGTGTTCTTCTTTCAGCAGGACCAACCTTAGTGGGACTCGGTCTTTCAAAGTCACCTTCAGG